GGGGGCCGGGGGCTCATCAAATCTGAGTTCTATCTGTGAGAAAGTTAAACAAGGAATTAGGGAATCTCTTTGCATAAATAGTTAGGTGTATGTGTGTGCATGTAGCCCAGAGATTTGCACATGCTCTGGTCCCGGGGATTTTAAATACAGTATTTCCTTCAGAACAGGTAAATGGCAGTACTTATCCCATTTTACTTCCTTCTTGGTTTGTACTAAATTTCCAATCCCAAATATATTTCTGTAAGATGGAAACTTTTTAATCTTATTGGAGAAAAAGAAATGCCTGAAGTGACCAAATAAAAACTTCACTACTGAGTGAAAACAGGAAGAAAAGGCTTTGTTACTTGTTGAGAATATCGGTTGCAAACAACACAGTCAGTCTCCGGTAGGTCACCTGGAAAACTAGGAGGTGTGCCAGGAGAATCTGTGTGGACTGGGGGAGACAAACATCCAGGATCAACAGCGGCTCCAAGTATGGCTGTTCTCCTGGCCGCCTCACTTCCCTCTCCCGACTAGTTTCTTGATATCCCAATGGTTTCTGATCACTCATCATCAGTGTGCACATGGCTCTGTGGCTTCCAATACTACTCTTTAATCACAACCCTTCTATTTCAGATCCCCCTCCCCCTACCTATCCACTAGCAGATTCTTGCTGCATTTTAAATTCTGATTGGCTCACTTCAACTGTTGAGGCCAACTTACCTCAGAGACCATTGTCTGGCCAGTGCAATGGCTGTGCTTGGTCGGTTGCCTGTCGCTGATTGAATTCTCTAAAGCAAGTGCGAGGAGGGAGGTAAAATGATGTGGTCAAGGCACAGTATCCTTGGAAAAGGGCTGGGCTGCTGATGTTCAATGACAGCCAGCAAAGGTGCTTTCTTTTTTCTTTTTAAGCTTTTATTTATTATTTTTTTTATGTGTATGCGTGTATTGCCTGCATGTAGGTTAAGTACACCCATGTCGTAAGTACACCCATGTCGTGCAATGCCCGCAGAGGACAGAAGAGGCTGTTGGATTACCTGGGACAGTTGTTAGCTGCCATGTAGGTGCTGGGATTCGAACCTGGGTCTTCTGCAAGACCAACCAGTGTTCTTAACCACTGAGCCATCTCTCCAGGCCCGCAAAGGCGCTTTCAAACTGCAGCTTGAAGACAAGTTTTTGTTGTTGTTGTTGTTGTTTTGTTTTTGTTTTTATTTTTATTTTTACCCATTCAATCACTGGTTCATTCTGGTGCAAATCGCATTAACGAAAGATCTGAGGTGATTTGCAAGTCTCTATTCAACATAAGATCAGATGGCTAAGAAAATACAAGAAAGGAGGGAAAAGAATAGGGAAGAAAGAGTCAAGGGGAAGTGCTATGGCCTGTTGTATTTTCCAAAAATTTACATTCTCAAGTGTGATAGCATCTTGAAGTGGAGCCATTAAGTGTTTGGGTCATGAGAGCAGGGTTCTCACAAAATAGTGCCTTCACCTGAGGGTCCTCAGGGAGTTTGTTTGCCCTTTGTGCTCTGTGAGGATGCACAAGAAGGCACAACTCTGTGAAGAAGGAGAGGGATCCCTTCTCAGACATCTAGTCCCTGGCCTCTAAAATTGGCAACCATAAATTTCTATTGTTTATAAAATTACATAGCATAAGGCATAAAGTATTTTGTTAAAGCAGTGGGGAGGGGAGAGTGAGCTTTGAATTTGTCACTAAATCTAAGACCTCCAAACTTAACAGCAAGTAGCTCCATACAGTTAGAAGTCCAGAAAGAAAAGGCTATTTATAGTAGGATAGGCCACAGGCCAAGCCTGTAGAAACCTGTCCCTCAGCAGGGACAGAGTCTCTTCTGGCTACTTTGCTTCATGGATAGCCTTAACAGGGTAGGAAAGTCCAGATTATACTTCAAGACTTCTTTTGGTCTTGAGTTCACAATGATAGTCAAGATTTCATTGTCTGGGGCAAGAAACAAATCATTAAGGGGGCAAAATTTTATATAACCAAGTCAGCCTCCAACACAATCCTGTTCCATTGAAGCTTTAACCTCCAGCCCCTCCAAAATTGAGGAAGAAATGGAAAGCTGAAAAGGTGGATTGTAAATTTCTCATTTCTTGTTTATTGTGCGTACTAAGGCAAGAAGCACACAGGAAGGTGAGCTTGGTGGTTTTTCTACTCTCGTTTTTCGCATGTAGCATTTCTGATAGTCTCAGATCTTCTGAGGCTCTTGATTCGCTTTTTCTTCTTTATTTTGATGACAAAGCAGCAAAAAAAAAAGCCCTTGAAGCCTTGGTCCTGGTGTAGGACAATGGGGGAGCTCTACCAGATAGAAGCAGGTAGGTTGTGCCCCGTAAGATGCTCTGGAAAATAAAACAGAGTGTTCCTCAGACCTGAATCGTTCTATTCATCAGTACTCAGGGAGCACCTGCCATGTTCTAAGTGACATTCAAAGCATATATGTGATGTGACATCTAGAAGAAAGTGGCTAGTTTGTACAGAAATTGGCCACTGTTGATACTTGATTGATAACTTTATGGGAAAGAGCAGAAGTGATCCTTCACTCTTTAACTTCTGCTGAGAAGAGTGTTGTGTAGATTGCCAAGATGGTGATCCTGAAAGCCATTTACAATATTCAATTAACAATAATTAAGGCACTCAGTGGGAAGCTCCTCACTGACTTGCTAAATAGCAAAAATTGGTACTTGGCATTCCCAGTGGATGAGAGAAAAGATAATAAGCACCCCAATGGTAAAGACAATCGAAATGAAACCAATTATGGCCAAATTATGTTACACAAATAGAAACCCAAGTTGAATCAAGAATATTTAAGTTTTTGACAAGAAATATTAAAAAAGAGATATAATAACATTTTAGCCATTAATTTATGATCTAATCTAGTTTAGTTCAGGGAAAGAAACTGGTTTATAAGCCTTTAAGTTTTACATATGTTGACAAGGGACCACAGTCTATTAAAATGCTTCATATTTGTAGGAGCTAGTAAAGTCTAATTTTCTGTTAATATAGTTAATAATGAACCATAACTGATTCTATTACCAATAGTCTTATTAAAAAGGCAGTTAGCTAGTCATTTAGTCCATCTTTTCACAATCATATACTCACAAAATATTAATGATAATTTGATTTACTATATTTAACTTTTGCAATTTTAAACTATTCTATACCAACCAATTTTTATAGCATTTAAAACACTCTTTACTTGTTTATAGTTTTCTTTTCAGCTACTTTCTTAGTATCCTTCATCAATTTCTCTTCCTCTATATGTTTGAAGTTGTGTAATAAATCCTAGACTTATAATGATCCCCCAATATTGAATTGGTCATGGGTTGCCTTACATGCTTATAATGCAGTAAATCTAAAGCATAGAATCCCTAGTGGGTTTTACCCAATCTAACTTCTCCATTAGTATGCCACAACATGTATAAAGATATTTTAACCACTAGTATTTAAGTCTAAAGACCTAACCCAGGCTGATCTCTGGCAAAGGAAAAACAATTAATGCATTACTCAATAATATTCATGCAAGCTTTAGCAAAATTTCTATTCCAAATACTCAAGTCTATTCTTTGGAATGTACAAATTTATCAATTCCCTTATGTTAGTGCTTTTTAAACTTTTATAAGCATGTTTGAATAAAGATTTCATTTTTATTATCAGAAAGACAAGCTCAATCTTTTCAAATAAAAACAACTCTGAAAAGGCACAAATCATTTTAAGATATTCATGTACATCTGTATAAACATGTATATGCATATGTATAAACATGTATTTACACATATGCACACGTTTTCAAAAAAATGACCACATGTTAACTAATTTAAGGACTTCATAATAGTATGGATAGACTCTACATCATTTGATGAACCCTCAATATATCACTCTCAATGTTAAGGCTCTATCCAGTTTGCTCATGCATCATCCTTATGCACTGATTGTTCCCTTGGGCTGAGTTTCTATGGGTATGTATTTAAGCAGGCACACACACAAAATTGCCTGAGAAAGGTGATATCATTTTGCATTGCCTTGGGCAGTGTATGGAAATGTCAAATAACTTCTCAGGACAGCTCTGAATTTTCTTTTCTGAAAGATGAAAGGAGATAATTTTGCTGCCATTTATATTTTTTGATACTAGGCATATAGAACATGCTTCTGCATGCTAGTCACCTGTTTCCTTCTAAATTCCCAAATATTTCTGCTGTCCACTTTCAGATAATAAGAATGCTGACCTCCGTTGGTTACATATTCATTACTGCAAATGTTGTTTCTACTTTGCATTCGTCTCTTAAATTTCTTCCAGTATTCTTTATGGCTATTTTGGAATGCATTTATTTATTTATTTATTTATTTATTTATTTATTTATTGTTTTTATTTTATGTGTATGAGTGTATTGCCTTGATGTGTGTAAGCACACCCATGTTGTGCAATACCCATGGAGATCAGAAGAAGGTGTCAGATCCCCTGGAACTGGAGTTATGGGTGGTTGTTAGCCACCATATGGGTGCTGGGAATCTAACCTGAGCCCTCTGTAAGAGCAGTCAGTGCTCTTAACCACTGAGCCATCTCTCCAGCCCCAGTGCTTGTTTTTAAATATAAATATTTGTATTAATTTTGACGTTTCAAAAAAATTCCATTAGGGAGACTAAGAGGTGTTTTGTTCACTTTTTTGTCACAGTTTGTAAATGGCTCTCATTTTAAGTGTAGGCTCTGGAAAGCAGTTTCAGCCTCTCTCTCTCTCTGTCTTTCTCTCTCCCTTCCTCCCTCTCTCTCTCTATCTTTATCTCTCTTCCCTCTCTCCCCACCCCCCTTCATTCATTGAAAAGCACTAAGCAGCCATTGTGAAGATATTGTGGTCAGATGTGTGAGAAACAAAATGACAACTATTCAAGGTAGAGTGAACAGCAGTGAACAGGACAGTAGTGACTTTGGAGTTCACTCTTAAATACTTTATTTATTATTTATTTTTATTTTATGTGTATGAGTGTATTGCCTGCATGATGTAAGTGCACCTGTGTCGTGCAATGCCCATGGAGGTCAGAAGAGGGCATTGGATTCCCTGGACCTGGAGTTACCGATCATTGTTAGCCACGATGTGGGTGCTGGGAATCAAACCTGTGTCCACTGCAGAACAAACAGTGCTCTTAACCATTGAGCCAGCTCTCTAGCTCCTGCAGTTCAGTTTTAAAAACAAGGTCACTGAGTGGGAATCTTGGACAGAGGTGTATTTGTTGGTGAGACAACTGGTTTGCTTTGGTGGCATGGCTGGCTTCACTTGGCATTAGATGATGTGCCACCTTCAGTCACATCCTATGTCTCCTTTAGGGAATGCATTTATTTGGATTTAATAATGAACTCTGGTTTGAAGCAGAGTACTGCTTAGCCCTATTAATCCAAGTCATCCAGATATGTTCTACACTCAAATAAAACTAATGGCCTGAGCGAACATACTTTACCAAGGAGAGCATCTGTCTGATGACCTCTAAGATTTCCATCAGAATCATAGTTTGCCAAGCTGACCGCATCCTTTATAGGTATGTGATCAGCCAGCTGGCAAGCCCTGAACACCACTCTCACCCCAGGCAATCAGCCAACAGCCCAGCACTCTAAGCAAGATTCTTTCCCACTACAGCATTCACTTACTTTTGAGGTGTTATTCACATTCTATTAATTGGGATCCTTTGCAAAGGCTTTCAGGCCTATTGAAGTACCCGTTCTCCCATCAATTTCTAGTGAAAACGTATAGTGCTGTCACACATGTTTTCAGCAAGAAATGTACAAGATTGAAGTTTATTTTTTTCCCACTTTACCTAACTCAGTTGGACAGCAATGAGGCATGGGAACTGTCAGTCATTTCTAAGGATGACAATTTTCTTTTTTGTTTTTTTCTTTTTTGGAAGAATTATTTTTTTAAATTATTTATTTAATGGCCACACAATCAGAAGAAGCATTTCATTACAACAGCATTACAACAATTTCCAGAGCTAAGATGCATCTCCTTCAAAATTGGCTGTGAATTTTTAGGTTTACAGTTGAATTAGTACAGTTATACAATATTGTACTCAGTATAAACCCTATAAGACATAAAATTAAATGAGGTTTTAAACTTTAAAAAAGATCTCCATTTTACTATTAACAGTTACTATTTACAGTTTCATACAGAAAAATTCATTTTCAATACAATTGACACTAAGATGCACATGCATTTCTAATCTCTATATATCTGGTTATTACTAGTCACAGTTGGTTACTTTCTGAGCTTCTTGGCATCTGAGCATGGATATAAAGTCATCAGGTAGATTTCAATGGTAATGTTTTTCACATCCACCAATTACTAAGGAGCAAATTTTCATGCTTTGAAGAATTATTTTTTTTTAATTTTTTTAAAATTAATTTATTTTTATACCAACTTCCCAGATAGCACCTCCCATAGCCTCCCTCCCCCAACTAGAGCCCTTATACTCTGATATCCCTGCTACTGGCTGCTGTGTTGTCCACACCCCCAGCCATTCCCCACTACTTGCCCTTCCGGTGAATCTAGTCAGCCTATCTAGAGATCTTTGTTTTAGGAGGGTCAGCTTTTCCTCATCTAGCAGTAATCAGTTGAGTATATTCCTTTGGATAAGATGGGGGTCTGCTGTTCATTTTCCCAGTTCTATGCTGGGTTACAATCTGGGAGTCCCTTTGGCCACCCTGATCAACAACTCAAAAGAAGGTATCGCTTGTCTGGCATTGTTGCTTGTTATGTAGCCTTTAGCTATACATATGGACTCTTAGGAAG